GGACCCCCCGGGACCCCCCGGCCGCACCTTAACGTAGGGGACGCGGTTCTTGTCCTCGTGCACGGCCAGGTTGGTCTTGGTCACTGCGGGGGGGTGACACCAGAGCTCCCAGTAACCTCCCAGTAACCTCCCAGTAACCTCCCAGTAACCTCCCAGTAACCTCCCCGTGCTCCCAGTAACCTCCCCGTGCTCCCAGTGCTCCCAGTGCTCCCAGTAACCTCCCCGTGACCTCCCAGTAACCTCCCAGTGACCTCCCAGTAACCTCCCAGTAACCTCCCAGTGCTCCCAGTAACCTCCCAGTGCTCCCAGTGCTCCCAGTGACCTCCCAGTAACCTCCCAGTGACCTCCCAGTAACCTCCCAGTGCTCCCAGTAACCTCCCCGTGCTCCCAGTGCTCCCAGTGCTCCCAGTAACCTCCCAGTAACCTCCCAGTGCCACCCAGTAACCTCCCAGTAACCTCCTAGTGCTCCCAGTAATCTCCCAGTATCCCCAGTATCCCAGTATTCCCAGTACTCCCAGTATCCCAGTATTCCCAGTATCCCAGTATCCCAGTATTCCCAGTATCCCCAGTATCCCAGTATTCCCAGTATCCCAGTATCCCCAGTATTCCCAGTATCCCCAGTATCCCAGTATCCCAGTATCCCAGTACTCCCAGTATCCCAGTATTCCCAGTATCCCAGTATTCCCAGTATCCCAGTATTCCCAGTATTCCCAGTATCCCAGTATCCCCAGTATTCCCAGTATCCCCAGTATCCCAGTATCCCCAGTATTCCCAGTATCCCCAGTATCCCAGTATCCCAGTATCCCAGTATCCCCAGTATTCCCAGTATCCCCAGTATCCCAGTATCCCCAGTATTCCCAATATCCCCAGTATCCCCAGTATCCCAGTATCCCCAGTATCCCAGCATCCCAGTAGTCCCAGTATTCCCAGTATCCCAGTATTCCCAATATCCCCAGTATCCCCAGTATTCCCAGTATCCCAGTATCCCAGTATCCCAGTATCCCCAGTATTCCCAGTATCCCAGTATTCCCAATATCCCCAGTATCCCCAGTATCCCAGTATCCCAGTATCCCCAGTATTCCCAATATCCCCAGTATCCCAGTATCCCAGTATCCCCAGTATTCCCAATATCCCCAGTATCCCAGTATCCCAGTATCCCCAGTATCCCAGTATCCCCAGTATCCCAGTATCCCAGTATTCCCAGTATCCCCAGTATCCCAGTATCCCCAGTATCCCAGTATTCCCAGTATCCCCAGTATTCCCAATATCCCCAGTATCCCCAGTATCCCAGTATCCCCAGTATCCCAGTATCCCCAGTATCCCAGTATCCCAGTATCCCAGTATTCCCAGTATTCCCAGTATTCCCAGTATCTGCACTCACTGTCCAGCAGGTCCCGGATCTTGTCCAGGTAAATTTCGAAGTAGGAAACCTGGGGGGGGAGGGGCGGGGTGGGGGTGGGGCGGCTCCCAGAGCTCCCAGTGCCCACCAGTACAACCAGTCCAACCAGTACAACCAGTACAACCAGTGCCCCCAGTGCCCCCCGAGCTTCTCCCAGTGCCCCCAGTTCTCCCAGTTCCTCCCAGTCCCTCCCAGTCTCTCCCAGTCCCCCCCAGTCCCTCCCAGTCCCCCCC